GATTTTAATTAAATTTAAATTAAATAATTTTTTTTAATAACCAAATAATCATTTATGATAAAGAAGAGATTTAGGTCTGTACGCTTTCATATCATTTATAAAATATATATTAAATTCCATAAAAAATTAATCATTTATGATGACGACATATTTAAGGTCTATAAATTTTAAATGAATTTTTAACAATATTTTAACAGAATACCCAAAGTCCTGAAATTTTTTGGACTCATGAGAACTTTAGCTTTAATTTGTAAATAATTTCATAATTGAATGAGCTAATTTCTCTCGGTATTTTAATATTTAAAGCAATTATTTCCTGGCCATGAAAATGGTCGTGCAGCACTATATAAATTCGCAAATAAATGAAATAATATTTATTTTTTGCTGAAAAATATGAAAGGTGCAAATATGTATATGCATATCTACATCTATATATGTATGTATATATGTGTGTGCGTGTCTGACTCAGCACTCTGCTGCGTTGCATGTGCTCACAGTTCAGGCCCTGTGCCTGACGTTGCCCAGGCCAAAAAGTTTGACTTCGCTTTGGCTATGTGAATAATAATAATTCACATAATTTGATTACACAATTCCGACATCATATCAAGTGGCTTTTTATTTTGTATGTTCAGTTTAATTACGAACTGTTTTTTGTTATCTTGTTTTACGGTTTTTTGGAATTTTACGCTCGTAAATTGGCTCGGGGCAACATTCAGATACTTTCATATCGTGTCTGTGTGTGTGTGCGTGTGTAAATTCGTTACAAATTACTTAGAATAGATAATTTTAATAATACTCTTGCAGTAAAGTTGTAGATTTTTTTACTTGCTTTATAATATATGCCCTTAGAGGTATGCTATAGATATTTAGGAGGACATTTTATGCGCTAATAATTACTCGACTTGTATTAACCCGATTATCTTGCTCTCTGCAAGAGTATTTAGTCTTCGGCTAGCCGATTTTTATTTTGCCATTCTCATCCAATTTTCCAATATTTCATTTAGTTATTTAATTGAACGCGAACAAAGGTAAGAAAAGTTGACTTTTGCTTATGCTACGAGAACTAACACAGAACAATTGAAAGCGTACAAAGTTTGTTGGACCCAGCCTTATCAGTAATGGAATCGATATACATATACATATGTATACATATATATCAAGTTATATATATTTTTGGGCACATATACACACAGATAATGCTAAACAACAAATATTGCCAATCTTCCAAGCTTTGCTAAACTTATATGCTAAACATATCTAGATTTATTCATTTTCATTTTCTTTAAGACACAGGGAAGACTTTAGAAATATTACAAATTAAATAGACATACATATAGCTAAATATATAAATCAACTACAAATACGTATACGAATACATTTGTGTGTATGTGTGTGTATGTGTGATTACTCTTAACAGCTAACATCTTCTATATAGCTTATAAAAATTGTTATCTATTTGCTTTGGATTTCTGCTTCTTTGTCGGTTGCTAGTTTGGGGCACGTGTGTGTTATTCGTTAAGGTAGGTTTAGGAATTACTTATCGCGTACATGTACTTAGGATTGTCTCTGCTAAAAATATCGTCAAACGCACTACAAACTACAAATCTAAACACCTAACTATAGTTTCATTTTACTGTAATGCCTTTTAACATCAATTCCATATCCAGTTTCATTTACATATCCATTTTTACATGCCATTTGTGATCAGTTGGCATCTGAGTTGATATCTCTTGAGTTTATATACAGAATTATTTATGTGAGTTTGTTATGCCTGTTGTTTTTTTTCGCTTTGTTAGTTTCTTAGTAACTTTTGCTTTCACCTGTTTGGTTTAGGTTGTGGCTTACAGATACTGGTCCTCGTTGGTTTTCAGTTGAAATCAAATTTTCGCACTGCGCGCTCGTGCCGCATGCTTTCGTCCAAATAGAATGCGCTTGAAGGCGCGACGGAACTCTGGATTGAAAATGGTATAGATGACCTGCATAAAGGGGGGAATTATTGTGTGTAAGTAGGAGTTGAATGTGTATTAGAAGATGGGAGATAATGGCTAAAACTGAGCAGGTTCTTATTGTAAGTCAATGATATATCCATATGCTGATAAAATATCAATTATAAGTATATTTTTGAGTATTAGAACATTTTCATATTATAGCCTATATTTTATATATATTGTTTTAGAATATAAAAAATATATTTATGATTTCACTAAGGAAATTGAATATCAAATGAAATTTTTTATATCAATTCTACGCTAATTTATTCGATTCAACTCAAGCATATTCTCTTGCTTAAGAAATTGTCTGGAGAGCAGCATCAATCATCCAATTAGATGCCAATTTACAATGCATTAAATTCCATATTTTTGCAAAGCTTTAAAGCAGCTTAAGCTGCTGCAAATAGTCATGCATATGCATGCATTGAGAAAGAGAAAGAGAGATTTGACAAAACTATTCATTTATACAATCATTCAATTGGAAAGAGAACTGTATGAAAATACTGCAATGCTTCAATTAAGTCAACTGGGAATTGATTATATCTTCTCTCAAATGGCAAAAAAAAAAGCTGAAAAATGACTGAATATTAACAAAATTTACAGCTTCTTTTATTTTATGTTCTGTGTAACTACTTTCAATTGAGATTTATGTATATATATGGTGGATCAATCATCCAATCAGAATTACCCACACTTGACTCATTTGTTACACACAGGACGCAGGACAAAGACGTATTGCAGCGGACAGATGGACAAATCTTTTGGGGTTTCACTTCGTAACTGTTTGTTCTTCTGCTTGTTCTCTTATATACGTACCGGATTGAGCGTCGAATTGAAGTAGCCCAGCCAGAGGAATAGCGATGCAGCTGCTGGATGAATTTCGCAATCCTTGCACAGGCTCATTGTGAGGGCCATGACAAAGAAGGGCAGCCAACAGATGACAAAGGCGCCGGTGATGATGGCCAATGTTTGCGCTGCTTTACGTTCACGTTTCGCCTCCAGCAACTGGCGCCGTTTGGCCAGCTTCTGGTGTGGATTGGCAATGCTGGCCAGTACACCCCGACCAACAGTTGTGCCACTGGGACTTGTGGCACCAGTGCCAGCCCCCTCTGCTGCCGTTGGCTGGCCGCCCATGGCGATGGATTGTGCTAGCGGCGTAATGGCATTCAAATGGGATGCTATTAGATGCTGCTGTGCGGCGCTGGCCACCTGCTGTGAGAGCGTTATGATTTCGTTAGCATTGCTCGTGCGATACTATAAAAGGGTGAGAGTGAGACAAAAAACGAGAGAAAGAGAGAGAGAGAGGAGAGAGAGAAAAAGCAAAGCATTGAGCGACAAAGACAAGAATGTGCACACACACACACACACACACAAAGCAAATAGAAACAATTAGCTTCGTTCTGCTGAAACAACTGAGCAGCTGGAACATTTGAGCACAGCTAATAGCGAACAGGTAACTAGCTCAGTTCCGTTCAGTTCGGTTTTACTCAAGTTGCAGCGGCTACTTACGTCATCGGCATCGCTAGAGATGGTCGTCAGTTCGGTGCCCGCGTGGCTTTTGTTATCATAGTTACTGGTGCTGAATTCAGTCTCCTCCCGCGTAATGGCCAGGCTGGCAAAGTCAACGGCAATGGCGGCCACAGAACGTGCCACGGCGCCCTCGGTGCCCGCATTGATGTTGGCCGTGTTTGTGTTACGGCCAAAGCATATCTTAATTCGTTTACGTGAACGTCTCTGCAGTTGGCCAGCTTCATTTTCGGCATCCTCCAGTTGTTCGCGCCGCCAACGACGTTTGCCAGCCTGCTCCTTGGGCGCGTCACGTGCCATCGAATCGCACTGCAAAATTTAATTATATTTCGCCGTTTAACAGGTGAAGGCAAAAAGAGTTCAACTTTCCCCACCATGCCCTTTTTCTTTTAAGTACATATATCTATCTATCTCTCATTCTATCTCTCGACGTCTGTCTATCGGTCTGTCTGTCTATTCCCTCATTTCCAATTCGCTTTTAGCTATTTTCGTGTATTTGATTTAGAAGCTGTCCTAAGCATTTCTAGTTGTTCCCCTGGGGCACATTTTGTTTTTAGCCAAAGTACAACACACGCACATTCCCACGCCCACGCCCACGAACACACACACACACGCACATAAATCGTTGAGTGCAAACTTTTTGGCTGCTTCAAGTGCTCATTTGGGCCCGGCCCTAATGGGTGGCAAAGGATTCGCATTATCGTTTCGGTTAATGACACGCTCATTATGGCAACAAGACATGGTTTTTGGCTCAAATTTCATTAGACGACGACTCGAATTATTATTTAACATTTGTCAATCCTACGCAACTAGCTAGAAAATTTATCAAATTAATTGTAAACCCAAAACCCAAACTCCATTTCCGTTCCATTCGACTCACCTCGGTCTCCGTTAATGTCACATTGAATGATTTTTGTGTGCGACGCTGTATGCGTTTCCTTGCAATTAAATAGATTTTCCAATACAGAAATAAAATCACCAACAGCGGCACATAGAACGTGCAACATGTGGCAAATATCTGCGTGAAAAAGTAAAATCAAGTAAATAAAGAATTAACACACACACACACACACACACACACAGAAGTCAAACGTTGTTCTGGTTACCTGATAGGCCACATCCTGCGAGACCATGCAATTCTGTTCCTCTATGCGCTTCATGTACTCGGGATCCTTCCAGCCAAATTGCGGTGCCAGCGAGACAATCAGCGCAGCGAACCACACACAGAATATCATGATGAAGACGCGTCGCGGAGTACGCAAATTGTTGTAATCAATGTTCGTGACGGTCCAGTATCTGCAATGCAACGAGATGCGAGAGAGAGAGAGAGAGAGAGAGAGAGAGAGGGAGAGAGAGACAGAGAGAGAGAGACATACAAATGAAATGAAAGTGAGAAGTCAAGTAAGGAAAGGATGAGTAAATAAAAGACACTAACGAGTCAGTAGTGGGAAACAAGTTGATAAATATATGTACATATATGTATGTATGTGAGCTAACGAGATTTTTCAGGCAAACTTTTTTGCTGTTGTTAACTGTTTAAGAACGTCTACTCTACAGGACTTGTAAGACACAAGAGCCAATATAGAGTTAGCTGTCATAACTGTTAGAGCACAGGCATCTGTATTATGCGAGCGTTAATGGCGATAATAATAACTATGGTTCTCTTAATGCTGATATTTAACTAGCACGATCTAAAAGCTGGAATCGAACATCGGGACAGCGAAATTGGAACGAACTTAAATCTCTTACAAACTGATTTATTAGACGAGCGGCGGCTCTTAAATTACAAATTTCCCAAGCCCCGTAATATGTATGCAGGAAACCCAAATAATTTTGGAGAATATCTTAAAAAACAAACAATTAAATAAAATAAAAAATAAACTAAAAAAAATTCAAATTAAAATAAACAAATAAAAATAGAAGAAAAGAAAAATAAATAGAATTCTTAAATTTTTTTTATAAACTTCGGAATATTTGAAGACTGATGATGAAGAGCGAAGTTAGTTCATATACATAATTCAATAAGTGAGCGATCTAAGCTTAACTGATCACGATCCGATAAGCGCCCTCTATTATCCAAAAACCTTTATATTGTGAAAATCCATTTTCTCATAGCTATATACTTCTGTTTATTGCCCATAAATTTACCATTAAGCAAACGAAAACTTTGACATGCTTCTAATCCATCATTTTGACAATGGTTAGATGCCATAATTCAGCTTGAATTAAAAAGAGGAGGAGTTGCATTTTCAAGAAGTGCAAATGACAAGAATAAGCCACCCCTAACATTATGAGCAACTGAATAATAAACTAGCAAGACGCAAGACCTTATTCACTTCACTTTCACTCCACAAAGAAAAAAAAAATGACTCACAACTTATGCAACAGGTAAACTGAGTAACACAATAGATAACTCACCTGTCTGCCGCGATTGCCACCAGGTGCAATATGGATGCTGTGCAGCAGAGCACATCGCAGGATGTCCAAATATCGCAGAGTTCCGGTCCAAGGATCCAGCCGTTGCTTATCTAAATTAAATTGAATGCAAGCACATGGATTTTCAGTGTTTGCCAGCGGGAATGAATGCAATTAAATTATGTCATTGCCTCTCCGCTGTCTTTGGCAAGATGACGCAATTGCAACAATTAACAACGCGCAATGGCTCATTACGCATGCACACGCGTACAGACGCACGCACACACATGCATACACACATACATCGACTTCAGTCTCCGTTGCGTTCGTGACACTTGCTGCGGGGCAAAGTCAACTCTTTGCTCGTAATTTCATTTGCACGCTTTTCATTCCAAGTTTCCATTAGGGTAATGAAGTTTGTGCTTGAAGCAGTTGCAGCGACTGCTAGCGACAACAAAACCAGAGTCGCTTGCACAACACAGGCAGCAATAATATAGTATAGTATAGCAATAACAACAACAAAGACAACAATAACAACAACAGCTTACCTCGTAGACGGCGCCAAGCGGCATGACGAGACAGGCAACAAATAAATCAGCAACTGCCAGAGATGCGACCAAATAATTAGCAACATTTTGCAAGTTTCGTTCGAGTATAATGGCTGCAATCACAAATACGTTGCCTGCGAGTGCGAAAGAGAAATGAAGTAATAAATCAGACATATGTATCTATATGCTATACATACACATACATATGTATAAAATAATTTAAATATAAAATGGGATTTGCATATTCACTGCCTTCAGATGTGGTTCGTCAAATTGTTTATGTGCTTTCTAGCTTTGAGTTTCACTCTGAGTTTTCTGGCTACAGAGTACTCAATTTTGAAGAAGCAGACTCGAGTTCGGTTTTGGTTTGGGTTCCTTGTGAAGGCAGCTAATGAAGTTTATTTGATATGCACTAATTTTCAACAACGATTATGGCCTCAAATCATTGTAGTGAAAAATTCGTATACCTAACAGATTTTTTGCTGACAATAAATAAACCTAAGTAATGAAATGATCTGTTGAGAACTTTTATTGCATAAATGTTTTGGATTTTTTTATGGATCTGAAAGATAAATAAATATACCATCCGTCGAGTGTCATATCATTCAGCTTCTGTCATGCAGCCCCATCGCATTTAGCTTCTGCCAAAAAATTCGCTAGAAGATCTAAACTAAGCGCATTTATATTTCTGTGAATCATGAAAATGTTTCCTATTTCATGAACAATGAATTCATATTACTCAGCCATTGGCCAATGCCATGTACCTTACATCGAGTCTTGTAGCATTCAGCTTTTGTCATGCAGCTGCCCCAACTCAAGTTTCAAGTTTTGTTTTTATCAGATTCACTAAATGAGTTGAGCATTCATAAGGCTATGCCTTTTATATCGCGAACAACTTCTGATCAATATTTCCACAAGTTTCATGGATGACTTCTACAGTACTACATCGAGTGCCATATCATTCAGCTTATGTCATGCAGCCCCATCGCATTTAGCTTCTGCCATAAATTCGCTAGAAGATCTAAACTAAGCGCATTTATATTTCTGTGAATCATGAATATGTTTTCTATTTCATGAACAATGAATTCATATTATTCAGTCCTTGGCTTTGATGTACCCTACATTGAATCTTGTAGCATTCAGCTTTTGTCATGCAGCTGCCCTAACTCAAGTTTCAAGTTTTTTTTTGTCACATTCACTAGAAGAGTTGGCCCACAGTTTCAGAGGCATTCATGGGGCTATGCTTTTTCTGAACGAGCACACTATGATCAATATTTCCACAAGTTTTATTAATGCACCTTCCAGCGAGTCTCGTAGCATTCAGCTTTTGTCATGCATCTATCTTAACTAAGTTTAAATTTGTAAAAGGCGTATTTTAAATACAAGACTCTTGTGCTTTGGCGGATGCATGCATTTAAATGTTATAATCACGATGTGAAAGTTTCACGAAGTTAGTCTATCAACAAAAAAAGTTATTAACGTACTAAATTCACGCCCATGCGTGTTTATGCGTGCGTGTCTGTGTGTGTTTCTTATGTGAACAGAAAAACGCGAAGAATTATTGATATATCAATTCCTCGTAGGGTTCAGGGGATTTCGTAGTCGAGCAGTCTCGACTAGAGGCTTATGAAATGGAATAAAAGTTGTTCTTGATTATAAATGATTTATTATTATTATGAATATAGCTGAATTTTGTCGGCTTTTACTGCAGTTATGTCGTTTAAATCCTTTATACATACGGACAGATATTTAATTAGTATTATCAAGTATACATATACTTTTAGGCATGACCTTTATACAAAGCTGGAATGCAACAATTTCCTTTGCTCAAGTTTTTAGGCATTGCGGCAATTCCGTTCGTAAATGAAAATGGTTCAAACCTATTAAAAAGTTTGTTTGGTTCGTTTAGTTCTTTAAATATTTAACTAATTGCCTTGACTCAACAAAATGCATTGTAATTGTTTGCTTGAATGGCATTAAATATTAATTCGCTCGACTTTTGTGCTGCATACAATGAGATAGATAGTCAATGAACTTAAAACTTAGATTTGCAGGCAGCAGCAGTAGTTGTAGTAGTACTAGTAGTAGTAGTAGTAGTCGTAGCTGTTAAACACTATTGAAATGGGAGCAACTAAAGTACTGGACGAACTGTTTTATTATGCCAAAATCAATCAGCCTTTGCAGCACGTTTCTAATTGCAGGCAATTGTGCATGGCATAGCACATGCCGACACACACCCACACCCACACACACACACACACGCACACACACACAGAGTTTCTACTCAAACTGAGCCAAGTTCAATTTCGATAGCCTTTGGGGCAAGTTGCAACTGGCGAAACGGGGTGGGGTGGGGGCAGTTGTTCTGCTTGCCAATCTCTCTGTGCGATGCAAATGATGCAAGTTGGCAAATTGTAATTGCCACGGCGGCATTCAAAAGCCTTTTGCCTCTGTCAACCCGATGCTCGTCTCTAACTATGTCGGTATGTCAAGCTGCTGTTGTTGTTGTTGTTGCTATTATTGTTGTCGCTTGTCTGTCAGCTGTTGTTGTTGTTGTTGTTGCTAGTGCTGAGCGCCTGTCTGTAGTTTATCAAAACGTTTTTGTCAGTGCTCGTCGTGCTAGGGCCAAGCAGAATGCATTTGCATATGCTAGCAGCGGCGTTTGCCACAGTGGCGAATGTTGCGCATACGCCGTGTGTATCGCACACAGACACATTCACACACACACACACACTCCCTTTCTATGAGTACCTGTGTTGGTGTGCTGCTAAGGCTGTGTGCGTTTGTTTGCACAATTTCCATTTGACGCCTTGGCGCGCTTTTAATAGCTTTTCACGTGTCGATGCCAACAACAACAACAACAACAAAAACAACATAAAGTCTAAAAAATGTATTTTTATATAAAAAACAAAGCAAAAAACCAACATACACACACTTTTTTTTTGTGAAAACTTTGTTTGCTTTTGTCGCTTGTCGTTTGTCGTCCTTGGCTGGCAAGGACTTACAGGATGCGACTCAACTCTCCGCTGCTCGTCGCTAAGTGCGACGTTTAACGCAAAGCTTTTTAAAACGCGCGCGCACTCTAAGCACATAACTGCCACGCCCAGCCTTAGCCGAAAATACCCCCCCTCTACGTGCCCGCCCCGGCCACCAGCTGCTCTCTCCGCTCCACATCCATCTCCGCCTCAGCGAAAACTTCACGGCAGCAAATCATCTCTCGTAAGCCAAAAATCAATAAAATTTTCAAGCAGCGCAATAAAAATCTTCTGCATCATAAATTTCACTTCATTTACAGTTTGGACGATATGGCAACGTTACTTTTTTTCGGATTTTTTTTTTTTTTTTTTGCCTGCCTCTTGGCGGCATAAATTTGAGAATAATTTAACGGCTACAAAATCTGGCAGCATGCCACACCCACTTGCCACTTGCTACTTGCTACTTGCCACATAAATGATAGCAGCTGCTTTAAGACATGAATCGAAATATGCTCGCTCGCTGATGTGTGAGAGGAGGGGAAGATTGGCTTTGGGATGTAGAGAGAACTCTATATAAAACTTGGTTTGAGCGGCAAGGCCTAACCTAGTAATGCCGTTAGATCAAGATTGGGATACAGATAAGATTTGAGAAATTTAATATATAAAATTATATTTAAATACCCTGAAAACATTGACAATGGAATGTCAAGGCAGAATAATTTGATTAAAATTCATGTAGCAGGCAGAAGAAGGCGTGGCAGAGCCCATATGTTACATTTAGTAATCTAATGCCTGAGTGAGTATTATGCAGTCGATGGTACCCGATGGGCATGCACTTGTCCGATTCCTTAAGTATCTGAATGATTGTGAATTTCTGTTTACTTACCAATAATGGTGACGAGTATCATTAGGCCAAGCACAACGGTCATGGCTATCATTTTGACCAATAGCCAAAATTCAGCTGCGGCACGCTCATTGGCAACACGTTGCTCCTCCTCCAGCTGTGTGAGATTGCCGTCTGCATTGGTGGTGGTGCTGGTGTTGCTGCTGTTGTAGCCGCTGCTGCCGTTGATGAGCAGAATGCTGCCATTGTAGTTGCCGGTGTTGTAATTGCTGGCTGCGCTGCTGCTGTTGCTGCTGCTGTTGTTGCCGTTGATGTTGATGTTGTTGGTGGCGCCACTGCCGACGCCGCTGCCAGCATCCAGCTGGGTTAGGCTGCCATTCAGTTCAATGAAGAGGCTCTCGTTGAACAATATGGCTGGCAGTTCTATTTCCAAAATGCTTGGGACATCACCAATTGCCCCAAACTCAAGCAATGTGGCTGGTGTTGTCATTGTGCTCAGCATGTTGTTCTTGTTCTTGTTGCCGTTGCTGTTGCTTGTTACTTAACGCCCAGTGGGCGTGCCAGTGTATGTGCGAGTGCTTAAAACAGTTGCTGTTGCCGCTGCTGCTGCTGCGACAAGGCCTGCCGTAAGCGCCTTTGTTGCTGCTGCTGTTGCTGCTGCTGCTGCTGCTGGCGTCGCAGCTGTTGCTGTTGATTTTGTTTCAGTTCGTGTTGCTGCCGTTGTTGCGGGTGATAAAGCGCCTTAATCGTGCTTGCCAAGCACTTAACACGTAAACTGAAATGTTCGAGAATGAGAAAGACTCTGTCAGTTGAATGTTAACAAAAATTGAAATAAAAAATAAAAATGAAAACTGAGAAACGACAGCAAAAAACGCGTCTAAAAAGCAACCAAAAATGAGACCTTATTTGATTTGGTCAACAAAGCGCAAAAGACATGGCTAAAAACAGAAAAAAAAAAATAAAAATAAAAGTATAGCCAATGACTTTTTAAAGTGCGCCTAATATAATTTAGGATTTATCTATCGATGAACTATAGTTGCAGCACTAAAACCCATAAATATTTTAGTTTAAAGCCAACGGCTTGTAAGTGAATTTATGGCTTTAAAGCTTATAGTTTAGGGCGTATTGTTAGTATTTTTTAAAGGCAAAAAATAATATAATACAATATATATAATAGTAACATTAATATTTTTTCATTTATTTATTTTGTTTTTTCTTTTTCAACTACAAACGAACATAAAACCGAATATTAATATTACTCACTGTATATTCATATAAGTACTATGAAATCCGATTTATGGATTTAAAATATGTTGTATAGTGTTAAAGTACTATACCTCATTTTGGAACACTAATACTCAACTTTTCCATTAAAACTTTGTAGTACAGTGTAGCATAATGCTACAATGTTTATTCCATTGGATCAACTCTTAATTACAGTAATGTACTAAATTATATAAACTCTTAATTCTAGTAATTTTTTAAATTTTATACAAATTTAATTCTATGAAAATCCGTTAAGCTGCTATTTGTGCAGTTTGTAGTACAGTGTAGCAGCTAAACTGAGTCGCTAATGGCTTTCAAACTGTAGCGCACTTCACGCTGACCTTTCTTAATTGAATAAAGAGATTACAATTGAAAAGCTGCTCCTCTCTCAGTTCTCAGCTTGTAGTGCAGTGTAGCAGCCGCTTATGCAACTACACCTTTTCAATAGAAATACAACTCGCTCCCTCTCTCCCTCTCTTTGTCTTTCTCTCTGTGTTTTTCCATCTCTGTAGCTATCTGGCAATGACCTCAACTGACAGCCTTCTTATCACCCGCCTCTATTGATTATCGCCTATTGCGATTCCATGAGCTTTAATTCATTGCGAAATGTTGCTGGGAACACAACAAGTTTTRCCGCTGCTGCTGCTGCTGCTGGTGGGTCTGTGGCAAGTGGTGCAGGCGTTGCCTGACACTGGTTATCGTCCGGAGCATCGGCGACGACTGCCCTACGAATCACCCGGAGAGTTTCGCTCGGAGTTGAAAACTCCGCCGTTTCGCAGCTAAAAGCTGCCGAGTTGAGTTTGTCAACTAAGTTTATTTTTGCTTGTTTTGCATGGCAGCAAGAAAGAAGACAGAAAATAATAAAAACAATAAAGTCAGGTGTGTGCAGACCTTTTGCATAAGTGTAATCATTTAATACACACAGAGTGCCGTCGCCTTTCTCGCTCTCTCTCTAGCTCTGTCTCTCCGTCTCTCGGGGCGCCACTTGTCCTTTTGTGTGCAGTAGAATGCAACACATTAGGTGACCTTTGTCTGTGTCAAGGTGCACGGCAGGTGAGCAGCCGCCCAAGCAGCAATCTAACAAACACTAAACAAACACTGCCACTCATCAGTGTTGGTGTGTGTCAGAGTGTGTGTGTGCGTGTTAGAATTGTGTGCGGTTGCAGGCCAGCGAAAGATACACACAGACTGAGTAAACCGCTAAGGTGAATTGCGAAGGTTGCACATAAAGTTGTGCTATAATTAATACATGATAAAACTTTTTTCAATTCATTTTAGGGAAGTAATAAAGTTTTTATTGTTGTTTTGTTGGCTTTTAACTCTTTTTTTATCTTTGGTACTAACGACTCAAGAAAAGTTTAGATATTGATGGCAATGATGCGGGAGAGAGGTGGAGAGAGATGGAAAACAGGAGATCGACACCACGGAACAGAAACAGAGATAAGGAGAGAGAGAGAGAGAGAGGGTGAGCTAAGTAGATGGACAGAGAGATAGATAAAGAGAGAGACGGAGAGGCTGAGCTATGGAGAGAGAGACAGAGAGAGAACATGAGCGAGAGAGCGAGACAGATAGAGCGATAAAGGTTAATATAGAAGGAGATGGGCAGTGATTCAGAAAGAGGGAGGGAAAGAGATAGAGAAAGAGAAAAACAGAGAGAGAGAGAGAATGGGAGAAAGTGAGGCAGTAAGAGAGAGAGAGAGAGAGAGAGAGAGAGAGAGTGGAAGGAATTAAGACAGGAAGGCACAGAAAGAGAGACAGAAGGATGGAATTTGAAAGACAGAGGGAGAGATAGATATAAAGATATATCAAGCGAGAGAAGCTGAGAGAGAATGTGTCAAATAAAGAATATTTTAAATTTCTAAAATGAGGCTCAAATTCCACAGAAATTGCAAGAAATTCCCTAGACAAACCGCACGCTTCAAATACGCCTTGGCTAACTTAAATATTCTCTGTATGTTTGCTCACTTCAATAATATATATATTAATCAACTCACAGATAATATAAAACTTTGCTTGAGTTCTCAAGAAGCTTCCCTCGCATTAGCTTCTCAAAATAGGTTTCAAGTGTTGGCTTATGTATATGTATGTGTATATACATACATACATGTATATGTGTCGTAATATATGTGTATATATGTGTCGTTTTGGCTGGCTAAAATGTTAATGCTACTAACGGACGAAGGAAATGCAAGCCAGCGAGCAGCAGAGCAGAGACAGGGCGATGCGCCCAAGCAGCTCATGTGTGAGAAATATTTTCATAGTCAAGGTAATCGCTGCTGAGACCGAGAATCCGCCCACTCGCCCAGCCACGCCCACAACATATGCATTGCCTTGACTATTAATAAATGCAACTAACTGTTTGTCCGATGCGCAGGGTCAACTTTTATTTTCTGCTTTTTATGCTCGGTGTTCTATTTTTTTTTTTTTTTTTTTGTATTTTGTATTTCTGCTTTTTATTTGGGCATCTAGTTTCGCTCTTTTGTCTTGTGCGAATCGCTTTTAATTTTGAATCGCGAATGATGTTTTTTGTGCTGAGCTGTTGCAGTTGTTGTTGTTGTTGCTGCTCTTTATGACAAGGCAATAGCATACATTTTTTGCGCTGTGCTTATGCCCTGTGCATAGAGGTACAAGACGGGCTTGGCGGTGCTTGTGAGCCGCAACATGTAAAGGACGGGCACACAAAAAAAAAAAAAAAGAAAAACAACAAAAATAAAACATAAAAATGTAAAAAAAAAAATGGAAACATTTTTTGCTGACGTTTGCAAGCAGCTCGCTGCGGGGCATAGTACGAAAATCGCGCGTTTACTTAGCAGCCACAGTCAGAGGCATTCGAAATCCTTTCATACACACACACACACACATACTCAGTCGGCACACACACACTCACTCACACTTGAATTAATTCATAGTCTAATAAATATACAAAAAGTTTTGTATATGTTGAATGCCTGCAACTGGCAGAGCCTTTTTATGTGCTGCCACACAGACAGACAGACCGACAGAGCGGACAGAGCGACCCACGGACGGACAGACAAAGAGCGAGTGAGCGAGGTTGCACCCGCAGCAGTGTTTGCCACGCCCCCAGGCCGCCCATTTAGTTGTCATTTGTGTCAGCATAATCTTTAGCTCTAGCCTTTATCTCTCTACTCCATCTGGCTTTTATTTTATTTTATTTTTTGTATTATTTCTAATTCTATTTGCTGTGCTCCAACTAGAAGTTGTGGCTGGACAATGCGCCAATTAGCAGTGGCTTTTATCAAGCAAAATGTTTTAATTAAATATGTATATTAAATTTAGTTAGCTAAATGGCTGACAATCTGTAGAGCACTCAAATGCTATGATTTATTTTAGARCTGGAAAGCTTTATGATGCAGAGTTATTCCTCCCACTCTCTCTTTCTCTCCCTCTCTCTCTCTCTATCTCTCTCTCTCTCGTTTGTGATATGAAATTGAAATTGAATTCATTGGACATTGTTGAAGAACTTTGTCAATTGCCCCATCAAGCCGAACAACGAACTGCACTCAGGCGCATTGGCAACTTTTCATAAAGTTTGTCCACTAATTGCTACAACTCCGACTTCATCATATACACGAGTGCAGCGAGCAGAGTTTTGTTATTGAACTAAATAACTGTTGCGAGCGCGCAGACCACAGACCCATAGACCTAAGGCCAGACAAAATCCCATTAACTCAACAACAGGACCAACAAAAGCAGTTGCAATTGCAATAAAAACAGGAAACAAAAAAGAACAGGAAAAAAAAATACTAAAATAAAAGCAATTGAAATGTTTTTTTCCCTTTGGCTGTTAGCCGTTTTAACGTGAATTGCGAGGAAAAGAGTTGAGAGCGCAGCTAAGCAAAGATAAGATACTCTATTGGGAATATGTCCAAGAACTGTGGGGCGTTTATACGTATAAGAGTTATCTATACCAAAGTTTTAATGATTTTGTTTTCGTCTCTGAGCAGCTTGGTTCATTTTTCAGTAGCATATGGATTCTGTGTGATTTCGATTTTTATTGCGATTTTAGATTTAAAGTTTTTCTACTTGAACTAAAGTGAAAATGCTGCTCAGAGCCACCATGAGCTTTGTAGTGATATATATCATAGTCGAAAGCATCAATGTTGGACAGTACTCTAAAGCAGCTGTTAGAGATATTTGGAATTTAATATAAAAGACAAATATTGCATGATAGAATGTTAGAGTATTATTATAATATAATGTAGCAGTTCATTGACAATATAGTAGAATTATTATTAATATTTAATTACTATTATTTATTTGTAAAATCTGAGTTACTTCGCAAGATAAAGAAGTCTGTAAAATATAAAACTAATTTATTGAGCTTTTCTTGGATCTATGACCTGCAACATGAAAAATAAGTTGCAGCTGGCACATTATAAAAGAGGTGAAAGAATAAAAGAATTGTGCTTTTTAGGAAGTTAGCTATATTAGTAAGACTCTCAATGATCGAATTTCGTAAAGATGGTTTTGAATATATAAATGAATCAGATACGATCAGAACTGATGTTAATGCTGTTTGAATTAAGCTATAAAATATGATCTCCTATACTAAGACCATATAAATTATACTAAAATCTCAGAAGGAAATAATAAAAGCAGAAGGAGAGCTAGAAAGACCGTGCTTGTTATAGAAATACAATTAAATATAGTTATAGAACTCTCATGAGATAACTTGGATATAGTATATATATTTATTTCTGCAGTTTTATAGCTTTAATCACAAGCTTTTATACATTTCATGATCATGTCTTAAAGCCACCCACAAAGTCGAAAATAAATGGAATATTAAATACAGCTAAATTTCTCCACAGTTGCAATTCGGTTTTCTCAGCTTTCTCAGTTGCAGCACTGCACAGCATTTTAGCTATCGTTCTAGCCGTATGCTGTTTGCCCTAAGGATTTATGGCAACTGAAGTGCTTCGCTTTGGCTTGACCTTGGTCTTAGTTTTAAGTATATATATATATATTTTTTTTATATATATATAAATATGTATATCTGTTTGTATATTTGTATTTGAATTCTTATTCATAGTACTCACACATAAGCATAATTATGTCCTTTCACATTCATTTTCGTGCGCTTCATTAGCGACGCTGCAGCGCCGCAGGTAAATGCGTCAACATAAATATTTATGCCGAGTGTCACGAGACGAGATGGAACAACAACGAGCACAACAACAACAACAGCGCGCCACAACAAGCTTTAAAAAAATTGCGACCACAATCTCGGCAGCTGCCTGTGTGTGCGTGTTTGTATTTGATTTTTTGTTGTATTTAATTTCACGGTTTTATGTCTTAATTATGCGGGCGAGTGTTTCACTTTTAAGCAGTTTAAAAAGTTTGATTTTCTTTATTTTGATTTTGGCTTTAATTTCATATTTGATTTGTATTTTATTTATTTCGCTTTTCTCTTGTTTTTCATTAAATTTGTAGCACAAGTTTTTGTTTTGTTTTTGTTAGAAATTGAGAGTTTCAGTCTTTAATGTAGATCCTGTTGCTGTCGGCGGCACATGCGTCTTTAACCTATACCCAAGCATAACTATTGACAAACTGCCTCAATGTGGCCGTTTGCTGTTAAATGGCAGCAGCAACACAAACCGTAGCAGCAGCAGCAGCAGCAGCGGCAGCAACAGCAACAGCAGCAGCTGATTTTTCATTTTACACTTGCAGCAGCGCCTGCGCCTGCCACACTCGGCAGCGGCATTCTCTTATACAGTTACGCGGCGCAAAAGTCTACACAGCTTCAATTTAAGAGAAAGCAATTCGAACTCGAAAAAGGATTCTCTTAACAAAACAAAAAAAATTATAATAAGAAGAATTGTATCAGAACTGTTGCATGATATTTGTTGCGCCTTCAGCTTGCAGCAATTTAATCATTCGAATTGCACAAATTTGTTTTATACCTTTCTGTATCTTAAATTACTTTGTTGCATCTTTGCCGCTTTAGTGAAGCTGCAGAGCTACGCTGTAAAATTTTGTATTTTTGCCCAGTCTCTCGTTAATGGCTCAGGAAATCCATTTAGCCACTCGGCCATGTTGCAATGCTTAACAATGCCGCATTTTATTCGGGCCTCAAAAGCTTTGCATTTCAGCAAGTTTTTAATATGACTAATGCAATGTGCGAATCAGGTTGGGTCAGACCCGAAATGTCCAATAGAAAAGAAAGCCAGCTTTTTTTATATGGGTTGTTGCTTCCTGTATACCCTAGGAAAACTATTAATGGGTATTTTAAATGGGGTATATTAGTGAGGGGCAAGGCTGGGGAAGAAGATTTCGTGCAATATATACGAGAGATTAATTAGTTAGGGTATTTTAGCAGGTGATAAGGCAAGAGGAGATTTGGTGGAATATATATAAAGGCAAATACATATTAGAGATATTAAAGATTATGATCTAGATATTGATTTGGGACTGTTCAGTTAGTATTTCGAATATTATTTTTTTTTTGCCACATTTTAAATACAATATTTTTTTCGGAAAAACAATCGATTTTAAACAGCAAAAAAAAAAGTGCCAAAAAGAGAAAAAATTATTGTATTATTTATTATTTGAATTATTTATTGTATTTTAAATTTTGATATAAATAAATATGATATGGATGCCATATAAAAAGTCTTTAAAAAATATTTGCCGCTTTTGTATTTATAGAGGATGTAATTATTCGATTAATCTATTTGCTTATCAAAGCAAGAGTTTCAGTTGAGGTCAAATCTAATAATGAGGTCAAATATAAATTTATTCAAGCATATTTTTTTTATTTTACTTTTAGCTAAAGTTACAGATTCACCTAAATTATAAGCCACTGAAGTGTCTAAAAGATATATACAAATTTATTACAAATATGAGAGATCACACAATCTTCCAATATGCGTAAGCTCCGTGCATATATAAGAATTGTTATATTCTTATGTAAATAGATGTAAATCATAGTTAGGAACTAGTAGATGAAGTAGTCATAAATGCTTTAGGATCCTCAAAAAAACTATATCAAAATGATATCAGCAAATGCATTTAGTAGATCTTAACATGAGTACCTCATATTTAACTATAACCAATATAACTCCATGTATAGCGTATCACCCCGTCAAGCGTGCTCAGTCGCTGCAGCACGCTTTTGGTTTTTCATCCCTTTTCTATAGTCTGTTTTATGCGTCTTTCATCTAATGCGCATTAAGCCAAGTCTACTATGCGTTGGCCCTTAATGCCATTTTCGATATTTGCGTTTCGTTTTTGAAGGCCATTTCTATGCAGTCGCCGTAACGTGCCACAAGGCGCAACGACTTCCAGCTTCTACCAGGCCACTCTATGCAACATTATTGGGCATCAACTGCTGCTCCAGCTCTGGCTCTAGCTCTGGCATATTGGCCGGGCCAAGCAGCAAAGTGGCCAAGTGGCCAAGTGGCCCGACTACTTAGACAGAGAGGCCAGCGCTTCGTTTGCCATTTGATTTCCGTTTTGAGCTGGACGAGCGAGCGAGCTTTGTTATTGGGGTCCATCGTAAATTAGCAGCGGTTTATTGCCAGTACGTGACATTTTGGACGCGTCCCGGCGTCTGCAATTATTACGCCGTCCATTCATTTGCTGCTCTGGTCAGCACCAGACCACGCCCCCATCCTCCACTCACAGAATAGTCCTTCGTTCCACTCTTGGGCTAACTTCTTTTTATGCTTTGTGTTGGCTTTTGTGTGATTGTCTTTTAAGTTTCTAGTCTGCCGCTGTCGCCTTTGTGGCTTATGTGGGGTCACTCAAGGGCGTTGGCACTTTAACATTTCCTTATTCAATATTTGCACAACAATAAAACTTTGATTGTTCCAATTGTTCGTGGGGCAAGGAACTTGGTAAGTCCTGCCTCACATTACGCATACGACGCGTGGCACTGATTTAAGTTTATTTCTTTGAATGGCTAATGAAAAGCGAAGGCATAGCATGAATTTCAGTGGCTGTAAATACAGTCACAGTGTGGGAGAAGTGTGAGAGAGAGCGAAAAAGGCATATAGAGTATTAGCAATTCCGTTGTTTACTTTGTTTTAGAGAGATATTCTTCGTCTTAGGCTATAAACAAAAAGATTTTGTTGCATTTGCGATTTAAAGTTATTTTCTCTTGCTTCTTTTTATGAGATTTTCAATTGAATTTTATACAGATTGGAAATTTATTTTAAATAAAATGCGGGCAATGTGAAGAGTTTAAATTGGAAGTAAATATATATTACAAATTGATGGATGTTCTGTTAGTATATAAAAAGCAGAAAAGAAATGGGCAGAGAGGGGATGGACGCAAATGGAGAGAGTGTGATGAAGATTCTAATGGAGATACAGGTACGAAACAGTGTTGAGAAGGAGATAGAGATACAAATTTAAGTAGAGAAGGTAGAGCAATAAATAGGTATAGAGCTGGAGATTATGCTAATGATAAACTGATTTAATGAATTTTATATACAATATATATACATTAGAAAAGAAATTAAATTTTGTTTTTTTTAATTTTTATTATTTTTTATTATATTATTTAAGTATTTTTTTGTTTGCACCATAAGCTTTTCTCTCTTTTTTTTAAGCACTAAATTTTTCTACTAATTAACTGAAGCAGAGCTTCAATAAAAAATTAAATCCTGTTAACATACAAAGAAATATCCTTCCCCTAGTGCAGAGCAACTATTTAATATTATATAGAGCTTTTTATGCAAGCTGCGATTCTATTTCAAGCGCTGTTATTTTTTATATTATCTAGAAGCTATGCGCTTAATAACTGCACTAACTGCACATCATCCTAATGAGCTAGCAAGTTAAAGTTAATGCAATAGCAGCAGCATCAGCAGCAGAAGCAGGAGTAATAATTGCAGCAGCAGTTGCAGTTGCAGCTGACAAAAATCCTCGCAGCACGTAACGCGTTGCAGTTCAAAAGTAACACAGATAGTGTGACTCTGTGTGTGTGTGTGTGTGTGTGTGTGTATGTGTATGTTGTGGAGCATTAAGATGGAGAAAGCTTTTGCCATTTACAATGCGTGACATAAAGTCGAGTCGAGTCGAGTCGAATCGACCCTCAACTGCAGCAGCAAACGTGCTGCATTTTATGTTGCTGCTGCAGCTCTGCGAAGGGGCAATCGAAGCAAAAGTTTGTTGACTTTTTGTCATTGTTTCGAATGGCTAAAAGTTCAGCGTAAAATGTTTCATAATTTGGCTTACACAAATGGCCAAAAAACTGACAATCGACCGAGACTTAAGAGCGGAACGTGTTAGGGGCTAAACTAAATGTACATATAGATAGATATACGAAATTTTTGATGCTCGCATCAACAGTTCATTTCACAGTGAACTTTATGCCAAAGGCAATAAACTGGATAAAGACTTGGCCCGATGAGTCGGTGTGTTGGGGGGCGACGGGCGATAGTGGGAGGCATGCATAACATAATAATTACATATAATAAAAACAATTTTTGGCATTTTATGACCACATAAAACTCTAGCATATTTTCAGGCAGCGCACTAAATTATTTGCAGTTATAACAACGAACAACAGCAACAGCAAGCAGCTAGAAATAACAGCGCATATGTAGAATAACAACAACAACAGCAACAACAACAACAACGATTACTATCGAGTAGAAGCAAAAAACAAAAATTGAAGGAATTTACTGATGAATTGCGGTTTAGTTTTATGAGTTGCCAGAAGACACACTAATAATGTGTGTGTGCGTGTTGGCTGTGTGTGTGTGTGTCTGTGTGTGTCATTCCTTTTATGAGCAGCAACAGCAGCAAACAAAGCTGCGCTGCGTCAACATTTTATGCGTCTTTAATGTTTGTTTTGTGCATAAAAATCGAGACGCGACAAAGTCGAAGCCTTAAAATCCAAGGCACAGAACATGCAGAAATGCTGGACATGGCAGTGATCGACTAGCAGATACCCTGTATCAAAACACAAAAAAAATGTTGGCTAAAAATATGTAAACTTCCAATATAACTAATATTAA